GGGTGCAGCCAGCCAGTGAGGGTTTCTGAGCAGACGAGCCCCTGAGCCAGGTGGGCACTTAGGGAAACATACAAATATTACCAGGTACAAGGACCCCCATAACTTTATTCAAATAATACTTCTAGACCACATAGTTACACAAAAAATATATTTATATTTCCACCAAAATGCAGTAGCCTCAGAGCCAGCAGGTATGGCTGGAAAGATCCCCCACTCAGCCCTGCCAGCCTGCTGCAGCATCTGGGCCATCACTGAGACTGGAGGACCTGGAGGGGCAGATGGTCTTCCTCTGAGACACTGTTCTTCCCAGATTTAGAAGCTGGGTTCTTGTCATAACCTGTAAGTGGAATGAGGAGCACTGTGGTGTTTCCCTTGGCATATCCCTTGGCAATAAGTACCAGGGAAACAAGAAAAGACCACACTATGAAAGCCCACCATGTTCTGGGTATAATAGTCAATCTTGGAGCCCCATCTCCCTCCTTTCCTCCTCCTACAAGAATTTCTGATCCTCTTCATGGGCCATTCAGGGGTCTCACTACAGAAACTCAAAAGCCCCCAGAGCTGATGGGCTCTGTCAGAAATCAGAACACCCAAGACACACTGAAGAGCAGGAGAGAAGTGGGTCAGGAACTCAGACGGGGAGCTCAGAGGAGAGAGCAGACCCTTCTTTAGAGTTGGGGGTGGATAGGGACACCCTGAGAAGAGGAGAGGACAGAGACAGACAAGGAAGTGTCAAGGAAGCAAAGAACCAAGAGTAGTATCACAGCATGAATGGCTACCATGCTGACTGAACTCTGAGGAATGGGTCAAACAACAGTTCTGGGACTGGGACCCTTCAGGGACTCTGTAGTGTGGGCCCTGTAAAGTCCTTGTCTACATTAGCCAGAATGGAGCGGGACAGGCCTGAAACAGAAAGGTTTGTCTGAAGGTTGAGGGGCATGCCGAGACAGCTTGCAGTGGGTACAGAAGTGAAACTGTAAGGGGATGCCTGAGAGGCCAAGGACATTGGCATCAGAAAGGAGGGATGGGCAGAGACCCCCTATCTGGGTATGAAGGGTGAAGCTACATACATGCTACCTGCTAGGGCATGTTTGCAGTCAAGCTGGTGGCCAGCATGCAGCAGTGTTTGGGATGGGGATTTGGGTATGGAATACCTGGACCAGATTGTGGGCGGTGCAAAATGACTCTTTATCCTGGCATTGTGAGAATAGGTAGAGAAAGTGGAAAGGAAGCCTTGGTGTAGTGATAGGAGGTAGGAAATCAATAGGCTTTGGAGCAACAAGATGCCAGGAGCCTCCTTGTAACAGGTCACACTCACCTTGGGTGGGTATTAGGGAAAAAGCTGGGGCATTTGGCAAAAGACATTTGGCAGGAAAGAGAAGGGAAAATTGAGGAGAACCCCTGAAAGCTATGGAGAACGTCCCTGGGTTGGGAGGGAGGAGTTGGTTTTGGTGGAGACAGGAAGGGTGCTAGAACAGAAAGGCCAAATGCCACAGAGACTTATAGGAAGTGATGCTTTTTCTTTTTCTTTCTTTTTCTTTCTTTTTTTTTTTTTTTTTTTTTTTTTCTTTTTTTTTGTATTGAGAGACAGGCTTTCTCTGTGTAACAGTTCTGGCTGTCCGGGAACTCATTTTGTAGACCAGGCTGGCCTCGAACTCACAGAGATTCACCTGCCTCTGCCTCTGCCTCCCCACTGCTGGGATTAAAGGCCTGCATCACCACCACCTGACAGGAAGTGACTTCTCCTGTGAGGTTAAGGAGGTGGTGCTTATGCAGTGGCAGAAATCTCAGGAAGGCTGACCTGTCAAGCAAAGCTGCAGCCCAGGGAGATGCCAACCACCTCTGCTGTAGGCCAGGATAGGATGGGGGAACTTAGGGGGCGGAACTTACTCCCTGACTTCTTCCCTTGCTGGAAACCAAATCCAGCCCAAGCCAGGACAAAGGGGGCAACTGATAAGCAGGGCAGGGAGAGAAGACAGCAAAGAGGCCAGAGTGAGACAGAAAGGCAGAGCATACTTTGAGCTGAGAATCTTTCCCTAGACAGCCAACAGGGCAGGCTTGCCATAGAGAGGGACTAAGGCACCAACCCCTACAGGAGGAGCAGGTGTGAGCACAGCTGCAAAGCAGCCAAACAGGGCTCTGAGTCCCACCCCAGACTCTGAAAGGCTGTGTTGGCCAGCAAACCCACAGCACATGCTCACAAGAACCAGGGCAAGGGTGCTAACCCCAAGACTACTCACCAAGGATGCCTTCCCCTGATGGATCCTCAGACAAGGTGGGGAGTGTTTTCTCCCATGCAGCCCAGTTCACTTCCTCCACCCTGTGGTTGACAAAACAGCCCCAAAGGTCAGAGAAACTAGCAGGCTTTGCCCCTGGGAGGAATCACCTCCTTTACCACAGTGGACTTACAGATAATGAGGAAGACGGTTTTTTGTTTCTGCCCCTCCCTAACAAGGCACTGGTCCACCCACATCCCACAAGCGCTGATCCTGTGACTCTTGGATTACAGCCCCTGAGGCCAGATGTCCATGTGGAGGAAGAGGCACCCTTCTCCCCAACTGCTCTCAGTGTCTGGGTTTCCCAGAGCAAGGGAGTGGGATCAGGTGTATCTTTGTGCCGCAAGGTCTAGGCTCTTTTGTGGCTGCTCATCACAAATAAATCCTTCATCTTCTCCCTTGCTCAGCTGCTGCCCGTAAAGGTGTCGGCTATGGCTGGACATTAGTTAACACATTCCCTCTCATGGCAATGGAGAGGGGACATTGAAAAGCTTGGTTTCCATGGAAGGGGATATAGCTCCAAGATCAGACTGGAAGAACTAGGGATGAGGGTAACCATAGTCACTCCAGAATACTGGCTTTTTTGGCCTGAAAGGAAGTCAGGAGTCACCAGGAGGGACGTTAAGTTTACACCACTGCATGACAAGGCTAGACAGGTTAATACACTGGCAGTGGCCACGGTGTCAGACAGGGAGGTCTGTGTGTCTCTTAGATCCAGCATCCCTGACCTTACCTGCCCAAATGGAGTACTCTGGTTCTCCTCACCACACCTGATTTCTGCAGCCATCGGGAAGCTATCCTGGGCTATGCCTGTCCCCACCCCGCCCCGCCCACTTGGCTTACCTGAAGCACCAGCGCTCATCAGGCACACCATCCCACCTGGTGCCGACTTTCAGCAGCCTCCCTGAGCGATGCTTCCTCCTCCTGCACCACCAGTAACCATTCTCCATCTCCAAGACAGATATGGCTTTCTGGGGACAAAGGACACATCAAACAAAACATCCTGAGTCCCTGCCTGGAGGATGAAGCACCCAGAGCAAGGGGGAAAGACACCCTCACAGAACTTAATGGTATATATGCTAAGCGCGTGAACTGGGATCTAGCTTGCATGCAGTATCTGGTTTCCTGTGGGGCACGAGGTTCCAATCCTCAGAATCTCACTTTCCCCATCTGTAAACTAAGGGAAGATACCTCAGACGGTGTTTGTGGTAGACACATAAGGAGTGTTCATGCCCACTCACACACATCCCAGGGCATCCCAGACTCCAATGGTGCTGGCACTTGAGGCTCAAGGAGGAAATGGCCCAAGGACAGAAATAATGTGGCTAGAGTCCAACCTCCAGGTCAAGGCTCTCCCTGGCCCAAACCTACACAGCTAATGCTTCTGTAATCACGTCAGACACTGCTAATGTTTCTGTGAGGGGGGTCATATGAGACCCTCCAAACTTTCTCTCCATCTCCCACATCAATCTATGTTTTACATATGTGGAGCTCAGGAGGGGCCTTTGTCTTGTTCTCCACAGGGCTTGTACCAGTAATAGGCATTCAAGACACACTTGATATTTAGTCAGGGTAACTCAGACCTGTCATCCCTACATTCACAAGACTGAGGCAGGGGAGTTGCTGTGAGTTGGAGGCCAGTCAGTGGGATGTTGTGAGACTCTGTCTCAATAATAATGCCAATGGATCATGGTAACTGACTCAGTGAATACCTATTATGTGCCAGGCACTGTCCTGGACACTTCATATTCCTGAGCTCATATGATCCTCTCAACAACCCTATGAAGGAATGAATGGCTACAGTCTGGTTGGTTCTGCTGGGCTGAGCCCACACAACTGGGTGCTGGGCCCTCAGCAGGGTCCCGAGAGTGAGAGAGGGGCGCCTCACTGGCAGTACCTGCAGCTTCCAGATGCTCCAGCTGTCAGTGGCAACGCTGTTGACAGTCTCGCTCATGAGGGCAATGAGCATGTTGAGCAGTAGAACGTAGGTGAGAAGGACGTAGGCTAACAGTAACAGCAGCACCACCCCACGAAAGCGCAGCTGTTCCTGGAAGGCCAGCTCACCCATACCAATGGTGAACTTGAAGAGCTCTAGTGAAGCATCCAGAATGCCCCCATATGGTGCTGCCTCCTCTTCCTGGCCCAGCATGGGCTGTTCTGTCACTGTGGTGTTGTTATCAGCAGGGGCTTTGGGGCTTTGGGCCTCCCGGCTCAAGCTCACTAGGGCTGTAGGTAAGTGAGAGGGGAATCTCAGTCTGGGAGACACCCAGGCATGCTGAGGGGGTAGAGGGAACAAGAGGAGATATTTGCACTGGGGAGATGGCTCAGGGGATAAAGGTGCTTGTACTGCAGTCGTAAGAACCTGTGATTGAATGAATCTCTAGCACCCATGCAAAAAGCTGAGCATAGGACTGGCTGAAATGGCTTATCAAGTTAAGGTGTTTGGTGTTTGCCTCCAAATCTGATGACCTGAATTTGATCCCCAGGTCCCACTTGATGGAGGAAAAGAACCACTCCCCATAAGTTGTCTTCTGACCCCCCAAATAAATAAATAAATAAAATTTAAAAATTTTAAAGCCATAGCTAGGTGTGTGGTGGTGCACACCTTTAGTCCCAGCACTGGAGAGGCAGAAGCAAGTGGATCTCTGTGGGTTCAAGGCCAGCCTGGTCTACAGAGTGAGTTCTAGGACAGCCAGAGATCCACAGAGAAACCCTGTCTCTAAAAATGAAGAAGAAAAAAAAAAAGCCATGTGTGGCTATAACCCCAGCACTGCAGGACACAGACAGGCAGATCCCTAGAACTCACTGACCATGCTAGTCAAAAACCAGCCAGCTTCCAGTTCAGTAAGAGATGCTGTCTGAAGGCAATATGACAGACAACAATAGCAGAAGACACCCTGTATCCTGCTCAGGTCTCTCTGCGTGCATGCATGTAAGTTCATGGACCCACATTCACACACATGCATGCACTACACATGAACACACACACTCAAATCTTAAAAGAGTCTTTACCTACAGCGAAGCCAAAAAGGAAGACTAAGTAGACCAGCAGGAATCGGAGCAGGTCTCGAAGAATGACCTGGAACACACAAGCCCACAGGGAAGACTGGGTGAATGGTCCACAGTGTACCAACCCTAAACCCCATAAGTCGGGTTCCTTTGCACACACACCCCTCCCACAGACTGTGTGTGCACAAACACAGGTCATTCTGAGCAGTGGGAGCTTCTAGAAGAATCTGCCTCCTGCTCAGATGAAAGAAAGTGGGAGAAAGTAGTGCTTGCCGGCATGCATGTGAGCCAGACTTTGATCCTAACCATGGAGCCTCTCCAGCCCCTATTTTACAGGGATAAAGCCCCAGGCACCCACCCGCTACCTACTCCCTCCCCCACACTTGGCCTCCTTGGCATTGCAGTCTCCTGGCTGTCTCAAGCACCCCCCACTTCTTCTGGCTCTTTGCCTTCACTTTTATTGTTCCCTCAGAAGAGGATGCTTCCTTCTCCACTCTGAGGTGGCTGACCAGGTCACCACTAATGGACTGTGTGAGTCTATCTCAGTGGTAGAGTGCTTGCCTAGTTTGTATGAGGGTCTGGGTCCCATCCTCTACACTCCATAAAAAGAAAATTTAAAAACTCCCTTTTCAGCTGGGCAGTGTAGTGCATGCCTTTAATTCCAGCACTTGGGAGACAGAAGCAAGCCTGTGAGAAGCAGCCTGGTCTACAGAGTGAGTTCTAGGACAGCCAGGACTACACAGAGAAACCCTATCTCGAAAAACCAAAACCAAACAAGCAACCCTCTTCAGAAAGGGTTCTGTACACCATCCCCTCTAAAGTAGCATCTGCTTTGGCCATTTTCCATAGCACTGTCCTGTGTGTTTCCTTTGGAGGGCTTTGTAGTCTGCAACATCCTGGACTGTTTTTTGTTGTTTTGTTTGTTTGCAATGTCTTTCCCCCACACTGGAACATCAGCTCCAAAAGAGGAAGGACTTGCCTGTTTTGCTCACTGCTGTTGTTCCCAACACTTAGAACAGAACAAGGACCACTCCTAAACACTTGTGAAATAAATGGGTGCAGACCTATGCAAATGTCCCTATGTCCCAAAGCTCAGACAGATGGGTAAGTGCATATGTATATTATCTGCTCCTTTATGAAGGATGCACATGTTCCTATGTGGACAACTGCCAACAAATGTATGTGTATGCATCTGCATCTGCATGAAGACACCCAGGTACATGGACACCCACCCCTGCAATAATGTTGGGCAAGTATCTGGGTAAATGACACATGGGCAAATAGCTCATGTTTTCTTCCGTTCGGGTTAGCTGTAGAGGCTAGCTCCTGCCTCATGAGGCCGAAAGGAGTCTACAGGGAGGTGGTGTCCAGGCCTCCCTAGTCTGGCCGTACCTGGTCCACCCCATCTCTCACCTTCTGGATCATGACACTGTAGATGCCTGTGTGCTGGAAGCCACGTGTATAGTAAAGCAGATTCAACCAGCCCAACACCAGGGATGACACAAGCAGGGGTAGGTACCATTCAGTCTCCATGAAACGCAGCACCTGGGACAGCACCGTGAGCAGAGCCTGGACAAGGCTGGGTGGGGACAAGATCTGGGTCAACTTCCAGGCCACTAGGTAATATCCACCACTGACTGCCTCCACCACCTCAGATGGACTACATCTGTCTGGAGCTGGACCAATCACAGCCTGACCTCAATCCTGGGCAAGTTATTTATTTATGCTCTGGGCTTCCTACTTATAATAGTGGCACCTGAATCAAAGAATGTCAGTCCATGAGAGTACATGGAAAGGGACTCCCTACAAAGATGGGCACATGAAAGGACCAAAGCAAGCTGACCAGCAGCCAGGATTCCCAGGTCTGGCACACACTCCCATCCTAGCACCCTACAACAACTTGGAGCCCTGGGTCCAAGCCTCTGCAGCCAGTTTGGAAATCTCTGCCACACCTGCCACACCCAGACCTCAGAGACAGTATGGGAAAGGAGTGAGAGTCACATACAACAGGATTTCAAAGTAGCTGTCCATGAATGAGATCCAGATGAACAGGCGACGGCGCCAAAAGTACCACAGCTGTGGAAGAGAGAGAGGTTGGAGAGTGTGAAACTTGTTCTTCAGTTCTAAGCACAGCCAGGCTGCTCCTGTGGCCTGGATTGCACCTCCCCCACTTGCTTCCAGCTATGGAACCTCAGGGGCTAAAACTGTAACCTCTCCCCTTCATATGTAGCTTGCACTGGTTAGTTTTATGTCAACTTGACACAAACCAGAATCATCTGAGAGGAGGGAGCCCCAACTAAGAAAATGCCTCCATAAGATGGAGCTGTAGGCAGGTAAGCCAACTAAGAAAATGCCTCCATAAGATGGAGCTGTAGGCAGTTAAGCCTGCAGGGCTTTCCTTAATTAGTGATTGATGGAGGAAGGCCCAGTCCATTGTGGGTTGGGCCACCCTTGGGCTGATGGTCCTGTGTGGGAATTTGTTTCCCCAGCCCTGAAGACAGCATAGTTAACTCCCTGTAAAGTCCTGGTTTGCCTAATGGTTGACTGGGACTACACAGGGTGGAGAAGTAGGAAGGAGGCCTTACCTGGCCCAGTAATAGGTAAATACCCCCAAGCAGAATCAGGATGTGGCCCAGCAGCAGCATGGATTCCCCAAAAGTTGCTTTTGATGAGGGAACAGCTGGCTGGAGAGACAAACATTCTCATAAGGCCTAGAGTCTTGGGTCTCCTCCCCGACAGCTAGCTGTCCAAGAGCCCCAGGTGAGAGAGAATTCTGAGCCTGCACTATGGAGAGGCAGACCACTGAGCAGCAGAGAGAACATGGGCTCTGGGAAAGGGCCCTTAAAAGCGTATGATATTTGTATCATACGTATATATGATATTTGTAAAAGCGGTCATTTGTATTGGGTTTGGAGCCAGATTTTCTGGGCTCAAGTCATCTCTACCACTGAGAGCTTTTATTGCCTTAGGTAATATACTTAACCTTTCTGTGCCTCTCCCTTACCTCTGTAGTAAACTGAGAATGGCAGTCCTTCATCCCAGAGCTTGGTGTGAGCAGGCGTTAGTTAACACTTGCTGACCACTTAGACTATTGACTCACATCTGGCAAGCTTATTCAGTTAGAATTCCCTGTCATTGCTCTCGTTACCCTAGGGGACTGTTTCCAGAAGAGCTCTGGGTATATCCCTCAAGCCGCCTAAGACTCAGTGTCCTCCTTGGTAGGATGGGCTGGTGCTCCTTGCCCCTTCTCACTCCAGGGTTGCGTCATGCAGGTGTGCCCCAGCTCTTGCCTTCTCCAGGGAAGGTTGGTGGTAGGCAACAATGGTGAAGATGAGCATGTAGGCCAAGTAACAGGCGAAGTTGAAGAAGAACCTGGGGATGAGCCGTTGCCATTTCTCCTGCAGCAGCTTGTTCAGCGGCTCTAAAACCACCATGCGGTGACGGTGCTGGGGTGGGAAAGGGAGAACCAAAAGCACCATGTAGAAAGGACACAGCTGGATAGATGGTATGAAAAGCACACACTGCATGGCAGGCTCCGTGTGAGGGAAGTGGAGAGGAGCAGATGGGGAACAGGTTCCCAGACCCAGGATCCCTGAGAGGTGCTTTCCACATGCCTCCATTCCTACCCCCGTACTATGAAGCAAAGGAAGACTTGCCCTTTGCCAGCGTCTCCAAAGCAGACCAACACCCGTGGACTTACCGGGCTCCTGCAATGAAAGGCGATGATTTCCAGCACTGAATTCATTTCCCAGTTGTCCACAGAGGACAGGTCATACAGTGATACTCGGACAGGACCGTAGCACCACTCGGTGAACTTTCGGGAAAGGGGCTGGTACAGTCCTGAGAACTCCCGCTGCAGAATGTGCCTGAAAATCTGCAGGGCAGTCACATAACTCACCCTCCCTACACTAATGCTATGCCAGGGCTGGGCAACAGCGTGAGCCCCTGCAGAGCACATAGGTCCTAGCATGTTTGGGCTCTTAAAAATGCCCAACCAAGGGTGAACTGTCAGAGTTACATTCCTATATATGCACAGGCTGACAGGCAACATGGCTCTTTCTTCCCCCATTCTGCCCCATGGATTTCTTTCCCAAGTTCCTCAGATAGCACAGAGATCCTAGCTGGGGACCTGAGGTCACTTGAAATCAGAGTCTACCAGTTATGCACTCGTGTGTACTTCTGTGATCACAGCGCAGATACTTAACAGATTAGAAAAGGGTCTCTAAACTAAAACAGGTGAAGAAGTCTTTGATTTCACACACGAGGAATGAGGATGAGGAGGGTGCAGACTGTGGATCAATTTACATAGGACATAGAGCTATGTCTTTTTTTAGATTTATTTATTTATTACGTACGCAGTGTTCTGCCTGTATGTATGTCTGAAGGTGAGAAGAGGGCACCAGAACCCCATGTGTGAGCCCCCATGTGGTTGCAGGGAATTGAACTCAAGACCTCTGGCAGAGCAGCCAGTGAGCCATTTCTGCAGCCCTAGAGCTATGCCTTTAAAGGTTTTTTTTGTTTGTTTGTTCATTTTAATGTGTGTATGGGTGTTTCACCTGTGTGTATTTCTGTGCAGCACCCACAGAGGACAGAAAGGGCATCTGATCCTCTGGGACTGGAGTTACAGACAGTTGTGAGCCACTCTGTGCATGACAGAAATCGAATTCTGCTCTGGAAGAGCAGCCAATGCTCTTAACCACTGAACCATTTCTGCAGCCCCAGCCAGGCTTTTAGACAACAAAGAGGCACACACGCTCCAGCAAGAGCACCAAAAGTTGAGAGCAGGAAACAGTATTAAAACTAATACTTATGGCCAGGCAGTGGTGGCGCACGTTTCTAATCCCAGCACTCAGGAGGCAGAGGCAGGAGGATCTCTGTGAGTTCAAGGCCAGCCTGGTTTACAGAGTGAATTCCAGGACAGGCTCCAAAGCTACACAGAGGACTCTGTCTCAAAAAACCAAACAAACAAACAAAACCTTAGATACTCAGAAGGCACTTGGGAGGATAAAGGAGAACTGGGCAATGCTTACGCTTTCTACCAAAAGTACTTTCAAACAAATCAGTTTTAGACATTAAAAACAAAACGGTGGGGGCTGGAGAGATGATTCAGTAGTTAAAAGCATTTATTAGTCTTACAGAGGACCCTGGTTCAGTTCCCAGCATCCACATAGTGGTTCGAAATTATCAAATACTCCAGTCCAGTTTTAGGGTACCCAATACCCTACCTCTTCTGAACTCTGCAGGCAAGTCACTCACACATGCAAAATGAATAAATCTAAAACAATTTTGGGTTTTTTGTTTTGTTTTGTTTTGTTTTGTTTTGTTTGTTTTTCTGAGACAGGGTTTCTCTGTGTAGCTTTGGAGCCTGTCCTGGCACTCGCTCTGGAGACCGGGCTGGCCTTGAACTCACAGTGATCCTCCTGCCTCTGCCTCCCAAGTGCTGGGATTAAAGGCATGAGCCACCAATGCCCGGCCTAAAACAATTTTTAAGTAAGTTAAAAATAAATAACAGTGACAGGTATGAATGATGCATGCCTGTAATCCCAACACTGTAGTGGCTAAGGTGAGAGATCAAAAGTTCAAGACCATGGGGATTGGAGAGATGTCTGATTGATGAAGAGCACTGGCTGCTCTTCCAGAGGTCCTGAATTCAATTCCCAGCAACCACATGGTGGCTCACAACCACCTATAATGAGATCTGTTGCCCTCTTCTGGCATGCAGGCAAAGCACTGTATATATGATAAATAAATAAATCTTAAAAAAAAAAAAAGTGAATAGCAATAGGGAAAGGATTGGTTTAAGGATATAAAACTGCAGTTGGACAAGAGGCATAGACTCTGTGAAGTCTTGAGGTCTACTGAGAGCATGATAAATATGGTTGATAACAATATGCTATATTTTAAAAGTTGTGAGATAGTATACTTTAAGTGTTCTCAAAACAAAAATGACGAATATGTGTGATATAACATGTTAATTGGTTTAATTTAGCTATGCCATTGTGAGCATACTGTATTCTGTATCATAATTGTGTATGAGTTTATTTATGAACTAAATAAATGAATGAAAACAAAACAAAACAAAACAAACAACAACCCCCCAAAAAATAAATAAATCTTAAAAAAAAAAAAGAGTTCAAGACCAGGGCTGACAAGATGGTTAAATGGGTAAAGGTACTTGCTATCAAGCCTGATGACCTGAGTTTAATTCCTGGCACCTACATGGTAGAAAAAGAGAACCATCCCCTGCAAGTCTAAATTCCACATACATGCAACAGCATGTATTCCCATTTATATACACACACAATAAATGTACATAAATAGAATTCAAGGGCAACTTAGGCTGATGAGGCCCTGTTTCAAAGTAAACAAATAAAAAAGAAAGAAATTGCAAAAGTCTGGAGGAAAATATAGATAACACATACATAATCATGTTATTATATAGCATGCAATACAAGCTACACACCATGATGGCTAATCTTCTCACCAGGATCTAGAACTGGTGAAGAGACAAAGTCTCTGGGAATACATAGGAGTAATTATCTAGATTAGATCAATAGAGATGGAAAGACACACTCTACATGTAGATGACACCATTCCATGGCTGGAATCTTGGGCTGAATAGAAAGGAGAAAGACAGCTGCGTACCAGCATTTCATCTCTCTCTGCTTCCTGACTGCAGACGAGATGTGACCCACTGCCTCGTGTTCCTGTTATCATGCCTTCCCTGCCATAGTGGCCAGTACCCTCAAAGTGTGGGCCAAACAAACCCTTCCTTCCTTAAGTGGCTTTTGTCAGGTATTTTGTATAGCAACATGGAAAGTACCTAATACATGTATGTGGCAAGTATATAAAATGCAATATTGGTGCTGGAGGGATGGTTCAGTGGTTAAGAACACTGGCTGCTCCTCTAGAGGATCCAGGTTCAAGTACCAGTACCCACATAGCAGCTCACAACTGTCCTAGGAGAACTGACATGCTCTTCTGGGCCTCCAAGGGCACCAGGCATGTATGTGGTGCACAGATATCCATGCAGGCAAAATACCCATATAAAAATAATTTTTAAAACTATATTTATTATATATGATTATATACATACTACTTATATAATCTTGTAGAAAGTATTAAGTAATAGGAAAACCAAGGAATTTAAAGGAAAAGATTACACCTGTAAACATAAAAGTTTCATTTGGCTTGGTTGCTCACACAGGGACTAATTATATTGCCAAGATTGGTCTTGAACTCTTAGGCTCAAGTGATTGTCTTGATTCAGCCTCCCAGGTAGCTGAGACTATTGGCAACCATGCAAACCACAAACATAAAATATTTAAATTCTGTATATCAAAAACACAGAGAACAACAAAAAAACCTGTTGAGGAGCACAGATCATGTCCCGCCAGAAGAGGGAGTGGCCCAAGCTGATGACCAGCACTATTATAAGATGGTGCTGGGAGGAAGTTAGGGAGACAAAGCTTCAAATGTTTACTAAGAAAAACAATTGGCGCTGGGCATTTAATTCCAGCACTCGGGAGGCAGAGGCAGGCGAATCTCTGTGAGTTTGAAACCAGCCTGGTCTACAAGAGCTAGTTCCAGGACAACCTCCAAAGCCACAGAGAAACCCTGTCTCAAAAAACAAAAAGAAAGAAAAGAAAAAAGAAAGAAAAAAAAAACAATTGGCTGCCCAAACTCACACTGGATGAGGTCATCACACTCGCAGACTGTGCCCAAGAGTTAGGATACTAGATACAAAATAGGAATACCTTTAAAATTACTGGGTAATACTTTTCCCTCTCTGTGGTTTTTTACTTTAAGAGGGCTTTACTGTTAAACAATATACGAGATCTTGCTTGACTTGACTCCCTGTTGAGCCTGATTGTCTCCGGGTTTCATGGAGGCTGCAAACAGCTGAACTATACCCTCTCTGACCTCCATCCAGGGGGCCCCCAGAGACCCCCAATAAAAATCCACTACCTTCCTTTTTCTCTTCTTTCTTTATATTGATTGATTAATTGATTGACTGATAGACTCTGGTTTTTTTTTTTTTTTTTTTTGAAACAGGTCTCACTTTGTAGCTCTGACTGTCCTGCAACTTGTTATATTGACCAAACTGACTTAAAATTCATAGAGAACCACCTGTGCCTGCCTCCTGAGTGACCATATACTTTTAAAAATTGTTATTATTTATTTTATGTTTGTGTATAAGTGTCTGTGTATATGCCCAAGGAAGTGAGAGAGGTCATCTCCCCGAAGCTGGAGTTCCAGGCAGTTGTGAGCTGCCGGCTGTGGGTGCTGGCAATCAAACATGGATCCTCGGCAAGAACAACATGTGCTCTTCACCACTGAGCCATTTCCCCAGCCCCAACTGTATAGTTTGCCCTAACCATATAGTTTTTAAAGCTTATAATGAGAGAAAAATGTGAATGTCACAGTAGGTAAAATCTGCAGAAAATCTAATAGTAAATTAGACAAAATGTAGAAAAAGGGCATTGGGTTAGTGTGAATGAAAATGTCCCCCAGAGACTCAGGTATTTGAATACTTGGTCCTACCAAGTGCTGTTTGGGTAGGTTTAGGAGATGTGGCCTTTCTGGAGAACATATGTCACTGCAGAACATATGACACTGAGCTTTGGAAGCTATGTACCATTCCCAGTTCATTCTTTGTTTCCTACTTGGCTGTTGAGCTCTCAACTTGCTAGTCCAGCCACTATGCATGCCTGCTGGCACACTTCCTTGCCCTGATGGTAATGGACTCATGTCTCTGGAACCTTTCTCTCAGGTGATTTGATCATGGTGTTTTATCACAACAACAGAACAGTAACTAATAATATAACTGTCTCCCGGATGCTGGAGCCATCACTCAGGGGTTAATAATATAACTGTCTCCCGGATGCTGGAGCCATCACCCAGGGGTTAATAATATAACTGTGTCTTGGAGATGGAGCCATCACTCAGGGGTTAAGAGCACTTGCTGCTCCTGCAGAAGATCCAGGTTCAGTTCCTAGCACCCACCTGGCAGTTTATAGTCATCTGTAACTGAACCCCCTTTTGGCCTCCACAAACACCAGGCATTCTCCCAGTGCACAAATGTTCATACGGGCAAAATACTTATGCACATAAAATGGAAATAATGGTTTTTTTAAAACATTGTTTCTTGGGAAGGAAGCAGTCATTTTCATCATATGACCCTTCCAGGTACCGATGGATAGTTTGGAATCTGTGATCTCACAGATGGCCCCATTTAAACTCAGTTAAACAAGAACAGAGAAACAAGAGAAAAGAGAGAGAGAGAGAGAGAGAGAGAGAGAGAGAGAGAGAGAGAGAGAGAGAGAAACTGGATGTGAGAAAGGAGTGTAAGGGGACAAGGTTGATAGGAGAGGGGAGATAATTAAGGGCCCAGGGTGAGAGGGGCCAGAATGCATTGTATATATACATGAACTGTCTGCCTGAACCCTGCTGTAGCTGAGAGAGGCAGGATAGGGACAGTGCTCACCTCAATTTTGCCTTCTTTGGCAGCTAGTTTCAGGGGTGTGAGGCCTTGATTGTTGCAGATATCTTCAAGCTGCACAGTGGGGCACAGGCGGGCCCCCACTTGGAGAATCCCATCATACATGTGGATCACCAGTGCACTGTTCTCAGGGGAGTTATCTGCGATCATGACCAGAGCATGCAGGACTGTGTTGCCCAGGGAGTCAGTGGCCTCCAGGCTGGCAGGCTGGTGCGGGTTCTCCAAGAGGTAGGTCACCACATCCCACTGCTTGGTGCATGCAGCCAGAGAAAGAGGTAGCTCACCTGTGGACCAAGAGGGCAGCCTGAGCTTCTGCTTCCACCTCACCACTCTTCCTGCCCCTCAGGCAGAAGGCCAGGCCTCCCTGAAGCAGATCAGGAAGAGTAAGAGGCAGACAACCAGATGTCCCTCCCCCTTGCCTCTTGCAGTCTTCTTTGACAGTCATCTCGCTACCCCTTAATGCAAATTATTTTTGATCAGGTTCATTCTGACTTGGTGGGTTTGGGGGTTTTGTTTTGTTTGGGTGGTAGTGGTGGTAGTGGGTCAGGTCTTCTTGTTGTTATTTGTTCTTTGAGAATGGGGAATGTTAAAAATGGAACCCAGGGAGATGGGGCATAGCTCATTTAATAAAGAGACTGCCACAGTGGGGTGTGGTGTTGCCTTTAATCCCAGGCAGGCAGATCTCTGTGAGTTCAAGTCCAGCTTGGACTACAAAGCAAGTTCCAGGACAGCCGGGGCTACACACAGAAACCCTGGAGGGGGAGGGGCAGAGGCAAAACAAAACCACCAGAGAGAGAGAGAAAGGCACCTGAAATCAACTTCTGGCCTCCACACTCACTCAATCACACATGAACACGTATTAATATACACACCACACACACATAACTTTAAAAAGTTGAACCCAGGGCCTTCTGCATGCCAACCACATGCTCCTCCACTGAGTTACACCATGAGTCTGCCCACTATGTTTTAGCACAATCCAGTTCTTGCAGCCCATCCTTTCCCCAGTTTGGACTTGGCTACATGCTGAGTTTCCCCGGCTAAAAGGGGACCAAGCATTCTTTAAACAAGTTGTAATTTAATTAGTCTGGTTAGAAGCAGGAAGACTGGGGTTCAGTGCCAGCTCTGCCAAACCATTAACCATGTGACCTTGGACAAAGCTTTACCTACTCTGTGCCTCAGCGAATCTAAGGAAAGTTCCCTCACCAAAATAGAAACAAGTCCCTGGGTGCTTCTGGAAGAAGCGGCCACAGGCTCGGATGTGAACATTTGCTCCGTTCTCTACTAGCAGCTTCACGCACTGCAGGCTCCTCTTCTCTATGGCAATATGCAGCGCACTGTGGCCTCGGTAGAACTCATCGGTGCACTGGGCATTGACGAGGGGCTGAGGATTGCCAGAATCCTTGTCAATCTGCAGCAGCGGCAGGATGCAGGCATTGACCCCGTCCTGAAGGTTCAGCACAGCCTTCATCAGGCATGTCTTCCCTGTGGAGCCCTCTGCAAGGAGAGAGGGGAAGGCACAGGCAATGCTCAGACCCAGCAAGGCTGGAACATCTGCTAGTTCGTACAGCAAACCTACACTCCAGAATACCCCATGGGAGGATATAAAAAGACCGCTGCTATAAGCAACTGGTGGGAACACAACTCAGCTTCGAGATATTAAGGTTCCAGAGTACCAGTATTTAAATACCACCAGACCTAACTACAATTTCGGCCTTAATACCAAGTTTCTAAGGCATAATTCAATACATGTGTAATATTACCTGTTTTGGTGGTGATGGTGGTGGGGTGTGTGTTGTTTTGTTTTGATGCAGGGTCTTTTTTTTTTTTTTTTAAGATTTATTTGGTTGCTCAGAATTGAACTCAGGACCTCTAGAAGACCAGCTTGTGTTCTTAACCACTGGGCCATCTCTCCAGCCCCTGATGCAGGGTTTTATTTTGTAGTTCTGGCTGGCTTCAAACTCACAGAGACCCACCTGTCTCTGCCCCCCAAGTACTGGGATTTAAGGCATGAGTTACCACACCCGACCCTGTGACATTCATTATCTATGAATATCCAGGAGGCAGAGCTGAGGACATTGGGTGTGAGCTCCAGCACCACATAAAGCCAGTCATGGTAGTACATGCCTGAAACCCCAGTACTTAGGAAGTAAAGGCAAGATCAAGAATCAAAGTCATTCTCAGCTACACAGCTGAGGCCAGCTTGGGTTATATGTATGAGACTTGTATTTAAAAAGAATCCAGTGAAAAAAAAAATCCAGTGCAAAATTTGCAAGTGGCTCCCTCAGTTAATGGCTCTGGCTCCTTCAGCAAGTGATGTGGCCTTTTTTTTTTTTTTTTAACCTATTCTCCTTTTTGATAAAAGGAGATATTCTAGGGTTATTATAAAAACTTATGGGAATAACATAAAGCGCTTAGCACAGAGGGCCAAGCACGTAGCAAGTTGAGGTCTCAGACTACAGTCTGAGCAGTCAAATACTGGCCCTGCTTGATTAAATGACAGTCTACACCAAGGAGACCACCAGTATCATGAAGCTAGGTGTGGCGACACACTCCTTGCAGTACTCAGAAGACTAAATCAAGGCTAGCCTGAACTACAGAGTGAGTCCCCCATCTCAACAACCAAATAAATGAGTAAGATGTATCCAGTGGAGAAGGGAGTAGCATATTATAAATTATTGCATGTGGCAACACTTTATGTATCTAATATTCTGGACAAATCTGAAAAGATGCCAAGCCATTAGCAGTAGCCTAGGATGACAGGCTGTTTTTGTTTATTTATTTGTTTTGTTTTTTTTTAAAGATTTATTTATTTATTATGTGTACAGTGTTCTGTTTGCATGTTGCCTGCAGGCCAGAGGAGGGCACCAGATCCCATTACAGATGGTTGTGAGCCACCATGTGGTTGCTGGGAATTGAACTCAGGACCTTTGGAAGAACAAGCAGTGTTCTTAACCACTGAACCATCTCTCCAGCCCCGACAGGCTGTTGTTTTCTTGGCCTTGCACATTTCTTTACCATTGGAATCTTCTAGAGTACATATTTTACTCCCTTTGGTTTGTTTGTTTGTTTTTCGAGACAGGGTTTCTCTGTGTAGCCCTGGCTGTCCTGGCACTTGCTCTGTAGGCCAGGCTGGTCTCAAACTCACAGAGATCTGCCTGTCTCTGCCTCCTGAGTGAATATTTTATAGTGCATGCAGTCCCATGAAGGTTAGAAAAGGGCATGGGATCTCCAGGAACTGCTTTTATAGATGGTTGTTAGCGTCCATGTGGGTGCTGGGAATTGAACCTGGGCCCTCTGGAAGAGCAGTCAGTGCTCTCAACCACTGAGCCATCTCTCCAGCCCCAAGAACAGCTGGCTCTCTGATCCTGAGCACAAAGGACACCAAAGGGCAAGGGGCTACCTGTGTACGCAGAGTCAGTGAGGTACTTGCTGGTCCGGCACAGGTATTCTCGCAGTCCAGCCAGCTCCTCAGGGACACCCCGAGAGACCACACTGAAGAGTCGGTCACGGTCAAACCTGTTTGGGTCCTGCTGGCTGTGGAAAACATGTTTTGTGACTCACGTTGGAGAAAGATGACAATCCCTCCTGCACGAAGACTCCTCATGCATGGAAGGATTGTCAGTACTCTTAGAGCACTGCACCTCAGGTTACACGGGAATGCTTTTGCAGGCTTCTCTCTCCTAGGGCCCCAAAAGCACAGGGCTTCAGAAGATGAGAAGAAACCCACTGGGACATTAATCTGCTGCAATACTGTGGTGTTGCAGTATTTTCAGCATCAAGTGCATCATTTTTCAAAAGACTGTTATCCCAGAGGAGTTATTTCAGCTCCACACCTTACGGTGGCCCTTGAACGTTTGTATGGGTCTGGGCAGGGTTGTGTAAGGTGCCTGCAAACCAAAGGCTGCATGTGTCACTGATTTTGAAGATGGAATGGAAACAGGAGTTCAGGTGTAGCTCAGCAGTAAAGTGCTTGCCTGGTTGGCATAATGCCCTCAGTTCATCAACAGCACTAGTAAAGGGGTTGAGGAAAGCTCCTTCTTCTCAGAAAGCATCTGTTTATTAATTAGAAGTCTGCACTATTCATCTGCACTGCAGCCCTACAGGCATTGAGCCACTCTTTTCTCCATTAGGCAAACAAGTAAAACACCTTACCCAAAGTCACACAGTGGAGAACTGGAGTTCCATGGGGGCTGCTCCATCTCTAAACCCCAAGAAAGGGTCTTGGCTGGGCAAGCAAGATGTTTCCCAGAGATAGACTATCATGTTTACCCAGCACTAAATATCATATGCTGACATGGTTTTACTGAGAAACCACACTTCCGGGAAATCTCTTCCATAGAGCCCAGAAGAGGCCTCCTGTGGCTCATGAGACTACACACTGGGTTTGTCTTGTGATGCGGACAGTTGCTTAATGAAATAGCCCCATCTCCTTTGCGAGTCACTTAACCTCTCTTAACCTAGTTTACTCTTTGGAAAATGGAAATATTCAAGGGTTATTATAAGGACCCAAGAACATATCATCAAACAAAGTGATTAGCCCATGCAGTGGGCCTGGCATACAGCATATTGAGTCCCCAAATGAGTCTAGGCAACCCATTCCTAGGCCACCTCAATATTCACAATGGCCTGCCTAACTTTGGGGCCTCTGGAACTATGAAAAGAAAATACAAGGGAAAAGAGGTCAAACTAAGAAAAAAACAGCTACTCACTCCATGATTTAGGGATTCTTAGGTCCCAGCTTAACATCTTTGGAAAGCTGGGCATGGTAGCACATGCCTGTAATGCCACCACTCATGAGACTGAAGCAGGAGGGTCACCTCAAATTGGAGGCTAGCCTCCAAAAAGCAAACAAGCAAATCTCCTGTGGAGTGAGCTGACCCAATAAGGACCGGTGACTCTGACACATAGGGTGACTAATGGGGTCATCCACACTTGAAGCTATACAGCCATGGTGTAGTTAGAGCCAGCCCTCACATCTGCGATACCACACAGGTATGTGTGTGTCTGCATCATCCTGGCTAGATGAGCTGCATTCACCCAGTTAGCCACATGGCCACGTGACCATGAAGGACTCTGTCACAGCCCTGTGGTCTGTCTGCTTGGAAAATATGGCCATTTGAACAGTGCTTCCTACCACCAGGGCAGGAATAGGGAAGCAAAGAATGCACAGACTGGGGCTCCAGAGGGCATAGAGGAGCCCATTCTGTCTCTATTAGGCCAGCTACACTACTCAAAGTTGCCTCCCAGGCACCTGTCGGTGCTGTCATAAATCTGGCCACAGCTCTCTGGCACAAACAGCATAGTGAGTCAAGGCTGGTGGCCAAATCTCAGGGATGAGAAAGGAAAAATAGGCTTTCCTGGCAGTCTTGCTGGCACATAAAGATTCTGGGAAGCTGGGAAGCCAGGTACATTTCCCTAGCAGGACTAGAAGCCCCACCTCCCCCAGAATCACTGTCTAAATTGGTAGCGAGAACAGAGGAAACTCAAAACACAGATGAGGATAAGTAGAATCCCACTGTCCTCAGTCCTCAGGTTTCACACTGCCTGAGTGACTATGTCAGCTTTGGAGCAAAGCAGAGATGCACTCAAGGCATTTCCAGATGTCTTTGTCTCTCCCTGGATGCACTGTGGGTCCAACCACCACCCCAGCTACCACAGGGACCATAACGGGCAGGAGTTAAAACATAAACAGGAGGGGTTGATTGTCAGTTGCACACTTGGTACTAAATGAGAGTGTCCCTACCAAAAAGCATAATCTTGGCAGAAGGCCAAGTAATAAGAACCTTCTGGAAGAAGTAACCCTGGGGAGCGGATGTGGGACTTAGGAGCCAACATAGCTAGGCAATGAGGAACAGATATGTGCTGGATTGGTCACTGAGTGACTTTGGAGTGCTGTGTGGGAGCCTCTCTTGTCTCTTCTCCATCTGCTGCCTTACCTGGCACCTCGTCCCTTTCGGTAGTTGAGATTCACTTTGATCTGAGGGGAGAAATTCCGGTCCTCGCCCTGGAATGGTGATTCCATGGGGGGTGGCTCATTTCTTCCTTTGTCCACTTCAGCACTATCTTCTTGGTCTCCATCTGATGTCTCCAGCCTAAAAGCTGGAGGACTGGAGGGTGACGTCATCCTAAGAGAGGCCGATGCTCCTTACAGCTGGAACTTCTGTGGAGATGGCTATGCCAAAGCTTCCTTCTCTCTCATACCGCAGTAGGGCAGACTTGGCTGGGACCTGTAGAAAGTGATATTGAGAATCTGAGAGTAGGAGCTGGGGCAGTAAACAGAGTGCTTGTTTATCAAGCATGAAGGCCTGGCTTCTGTCCCCAGCAACGCATAAGCCACCTATAATCCAATGCAAGGCACTGGGGGACTGGGGGAGATGGCTCAGTGGTTAAGAGCACTGGCTGCTCTTCCAGAGAACCAAGGTTCAAACCCCAGCACTACATGTTGGCTCACAGCCCTCTGTAACTCCAGTTCCAGAGGATCCAACATATTCTTCTGACTTCCACAGACACCAGGCCAGACATACAAAAAAAAAAAAAAAAAAAAAAAAAAAAAAAAAAAAAAGAAAGAGGTGGTGCATGCCTTTAATCCCAGCACTTGGGAGGCAGAGGCAGGTGGATCTCTGAGTTCCAGGCCACCCTGGTCTACAAATCGAGTTCTAGGACAGCCAAGCATATAGAGAAACTCTGTGTTGGGGGAAAAAAAAAAAGAGGTTGGGACAAGAGGGTGAGAGTTCAAGGTCATCCTCAGCTACATAGAGTTTGACGCTAGCCTGATATACTCTGTCTCAAAAAAAAATAATAAGAGGAAGGAAAGGAGGGAGGGAGGGAGGGAAGGACGAAGAAAGGAAAGAAAAGGGATAAGGGGATAATTCAATCAGTAAAATGCTTGCCACACAACCAGGAGGACCTGAACTTGGGTCCCTGGTCCCCACATAAAAAGCCAGGCACTGAGACATATTTTTGATGTCGGTGAGGAAAGGCAGAGGAGAGGCTCCCTGGGGATCGCTGGCCAGCCAATCTACCTGAATTCCTGTGTTCAATGATAGACCCTGGCTCAAACAATGAAGTTGAGAGATGCAGAAGAAATTCCATATCTACCTACCTCTGGCATCTTCACACATCCACATACACAAAAATAAAAAATAAAAGAGCGAGCCATGCCTGGTGGTGCATGCCTTTAAACCCAACATTCAGGAGGCAGAGGCCAGCCAGATGCACATAGTGAGTTCCAGGACAACTAAGGCTACATAAAGACACCCTGTCTCAAAAACAAACAAGGCAGGGGGTGGTAGTGCATGCCTTTAATCCCAGCACTAGGGAGGCAGAGGCAGGCAAATCTTTGTGAGTTCTAGGGATACACAGAGAAACCGTGTCTTGAAAAACAAACAAACAAACAAAAAAAGAGGAGTGTGGGAGAGGAGCAAGCAGCTCCACAATATAGTTAGCCCTACAGGAGGGAAAATGGGCCTTGAAGGAGAAAGGCAATGTCAGGAGGATGATTTGCTGGGAAGCAGGGACCTGACAGGCTTGTCATTTTGATATTATCTCTCAAGAATTCATGAGTGTCTTTAGCTTCCACCTTGGGAATTTCTGATATTTAAGAAACCTCAAAGCCTATTTGGGGGTAAGAATGCTTGTGTTCGCAACCCCACCCTTTCTCTACATGACATCAAGCCCTGTGCCCGGTGGTTCAAACAGATAAAACTTCAGTTGCTGAGCGGGCCAGGGCAGGCCACTCAACCCCATATTGCAGAAAGGGAGATTCTCCAGTCGAACCATTGGCCTATCAAATCCCCCCTTTTGCTGCCAGAACAACTGAGGCTCAGAAAAGGGAAGTGAGCTTCCACCTCGGTTTATGTCATAGTGTGCCTGTTCAGTTGGGGGGGGGGTATGTTTCCTGTCTGACTCATGTCTGAGGACATCAGGTGCCACCTCTATAGGGGCTTTAGAATGGCGAGCTCCATCTGCTGTCCCACCTCAGACTCCATACTGGGTCTGGGGTTAGCTGACTGCTAACCTCAACTTCATCAGAAAACTGCAACCACAGCCTCCATCACGTGGCCAGGGCTGGGACCTAGTTAGAGCTGTATTGCACAGAGTGCAGAAACGGAAGGAAAGAATCAGAGCCGGGTCAGGGGACAGAAGGGTGGGAGAAACGGGTAGGGAACAGGTAGGTGAAAGGAAGGGACAGAAAAGAACAGGGCTAAGAGATGAAGTAGCAGCGTGGCCTGGCCCACTCTCAAATCGTTACAGGATCCCAGTACCCTAGATAACTGGGTGGGGCATTTTCCACAACAGCCAGGGGACCTGGCTGGGTACTTACTGACACTAACATTTATGACCCTCCACCTTTCTGCCCACTTTAGGGCATGGTCATCCTCCTTTCGTGCAGCCTAGCTTTTGTCCTCAAGCAAATCCTGGCCCATGATGCCTCTGACACCATTTTCACACCCCCAGCAGCAACAACTGTCTCCCCGGCTTCTTCCCTACCTCCTGGGATCCCCATTCTGGCAGCAGAGGAAGAGGCCTGGAGGTCCAGGGAGCCAGAGTCCACACAGAGACCTTTACTCCAGGATGGAGATGCACAGAGAGCCACCCGTTGTCGGACTTCCAGACGCAACCCCCTAGGACATTTCCAAATGCCAATCGACTTACCACGCACCCTGAAGCCAAGGCGTGGCGGCGGCAGACTGCAGGCCACCAGAATCACCAAGCCTAGCGGGGCTCCCCAGCAGCGGCAGCTGGGACTGAGAGAGGAAGTGCGGCCGGGAGGGGCGCGGCCCGGCGCTAACAGCAAAGGGTTGCGGGAACCTCGGCAGCCACCTCCGAGCTCTCTCTGTGTTGTCCACCCTCAACCTGTTCGTCGCGCACTGTGGACAGTTCGGGTTTAACGCCGACGGGTCAAGGACCAGTGACTGGCCATCAGGCTTATCATCTGGACCACTGGCCACACCCTCTCTGGGGAGACAAGCCCTGCCCCTTCATCGGTGCACTTTCACCACCACCCCCATAGCCAGAGAAGCCCCTGGGGCAATCAGAGGCAGCCCAAGGGTGCTGGGACTTTGGCTCGGGTGGGAGCTGGCATGGGTGTGGGATTCGTGCCCCATTACACTGACCCCCACCACTCCTGGTTCTTACCACTATGTGCCCCCTAGCAGTCATGTGGTTCATAATTGGCTGACCCTTAAATGAGGGAGAGAAGAGTGTGATAGCCCCAGGGAGAAAAGAGGTTCAGCCTAACTTTTGTCCCAAAGAATGCAGCCCCACCCATCCAGCCATATTTCCATCTAGGGAGAGATTCCCTCAGCGTCCTGACCCCAAGGATCCCCAAGGCTCCTATTTGGTCTTGCCAAGGAGAACAGGGGCTAGCTCTCCCCTCCCTTCCCCCTCCCTTCCTTCCTGTGTCTCTCTCTTTCTCCTCCACTGCCTCTCTCGGAGACCTCTGTCCTTGTTCCATGTCCAGAATTGTGTCTGATTGGTCCAAACCACCAGTTTCTTTCCCTGAGAAAGTTCCACTACCTCCAAATTTGTCTCTCACACCTCATCAACTAAGGTGGCCTGCTAAAAATATAAACCAAGGGCCAGCATTTAGCTTAGTGGTGGAGCACTTAGTGAATGGCATGTGTAAGACCCTTGGCTTGACCCCCAGTACCAGAAGTGAGGAAAAACGAAATAACAATAAATAAATGAATACCAAGTCAACCCACTCCTCTGCTCAAAGCCACTGTTTCCTGTACTTGGAATAAAATGCAAACGTCATCCAACAACTTCACGAAGTCCAGAGGCCCTGCCTTGCCACTCCACTTTACACTACGCTACACACTCCAGTCAACATGCTACACTCCAGACCTGTACCATCTGGTGTGGCAGTCATTAGCACAGCAGACTTTAGTTTGGCTTACTATTTTATCTGAGGCAGGGTCTTGATGTGTAGAGCAACTATGACAAACCTCTGCCTCTCCCTCACAGTGTTGGGATTATAGTTGTTTACCTCCAAGGTTGGTCACCTTTCAGATGAATCCATCATAAGACAAAATTCAGTAAATACTGGCCAGCGTGTCTCTAGGCTCCCTGAATACCCTTCATTGTCCCCAATATTCACTGTCTTCTCCGTATCACAAGCTGTCCCAACTGCCAGGAGCACCACACAAATGCACACACATGCAATGCATATACCATCATCACCACATACACATTAACCTTAGCTCTAGGCAATGTCTACCTCTGTTTGTGTTTCTTTGTTGGTTTTGCTGTGCATGGCCTTCCACATGCTAGGCAAGAATTTTACCATTGCTTCCCAACCTATTATCTCTCAGTTTAAACGTCACTTCCTCACAGTAGACCTGGACCCTAGACTGGGTGGGGTGTGGGGTGTCCTAGAAATATGCTATGACACTTGCCTTGTCCCTGGTGGAAGCTCATTTATACTGTGTTCACTTCCCCCATAAAGGCATAATTAGCAACCCATTGTTGTTAAAACATGTTTAGGAGTGGAAGTGTAGCTTAATGCTAGAGCATCCGTTTAGTATATGCAAAAGCCAGATATGTGACTTCTTGCATCAAGAACCAAACTGTATGTATGCATTTAGCCAACCAACTTTATATAAACGTTTAAATCTGTGCTTAAAGTCTCCTTAACAAACTCTTGTTTTTGTTGGTTGTTTTTATTTTTCCATTTTGTTTTCTAAGACAGGGTTTCACTGTACAGCCAGTTCACTGTACAGGAACTCACTTTATAGACCAAGCTAGTCTTGAACTCAGAGATCTGCCTGCCTCTGCCTCCCCAGTACTGGGATTAAAGGCATGCGACACCACTGACTGTCTACAAACTGGGTTTTTTGTTTTGTTTTGTTTTGTTTTTGGGTTTTTTTTTGCATAATTCTGTGGCTTTACCTTTAAAATAATTAACCAGTGAGGTGGCTCAGCAGGTAAAGGTGATTGTCATACAAGCCTGGTAAACTGAATTTGATCCCTAGAACCTATGTAAATGTGGAAGGAGAAAACTGACTCCACCAAGTTGTCCTCTGACCTTCACACATGCACTGTGGTATACATATCCACACATACATGCACGTGTGCATGCACACATACACACACGTGCACACATACACACACACACACACACATATTTGTGTGTGTTTCATATATACATCAAACAACAAAAATCTACAATGAAGCCTGGCATCAAGAATCACAGCTGACATTCCAGCGCACAAAGGAATTACAGTGATTTCTAGGCCAGCCTAGATGAATTCCAGTATGTATATATGATGAATTCAGACCATACTGAGCTACATATAGCCATTTCCTTTAAAAAAAAAAAAAAAGCTGGGCATGGTGGCACATACCTTTAATCTCAGAACTCAGGAGGTAGAGGCAGGCAGATCTCTGTGAGTTCTAGGCCAGCGTCGTCTACAAAGCAAGTTCCAGGACAGCCAGGGCTGTTACAACAGAGAAACCCTGTCTCAACAAACAAACAAAAAAGTATTGGCAAGGATCTGGAGGAGTTGGAACCTCCTAGATGATAAAAATGTAGTGACTGTTTCTCCAGAAGACTAAACATAGAGTTAACATGTGACTCAGAAATCCCAGGCCTAATCATGTACTTGAAATGGAACATGAATAGCACAAGCACTATATATAAATGATATAACAGTGGTATTATTTATATGAGAAAAAAAGGGAAACCATCAGGGAATGGAAAGAGAAAGGAATCCCTCACTTTGCAGTGTGGTTAAAGCTGATAGTCAAGAATTCTAGCTCAGTGGGCTGGAGAGGTGGCTCATTAGTTAAAAGCATTTGTTGCTCTTGCACAAGACCCAGGTTTAGTTCCCAGCACTTGCATGGTGCTTCAAACCATTCACAACTCCAGTTCCAAGAGATCTGAGGTCTTCTTCTGATCTCTTTAGGCACCAGGCATGCTCATGGTGCACATACTTTCAGACAAAACACTTAAACAAATTAATATATACATTATAGCTAAAGTAACAATATTTGCTGTAAAGGTTGGGAAAATAGAGATTTTCTTTTTGAGACAGGTTTTCTCTATGTAGCCCTGGCTGGCCTTGAACCTACAGGTATCCACTTGCCTCTACCTCCTGAGTGCTGGGATCAAGAGATCCACCTGCCTCTGCCTCCCAAGTGCTGGGATTAAAGGCATGCACCACCAACACCTGGCTATATAGGGATATTTCAAATGAGAATTTTAAAATAGCAATGACTCATGCTTAAGGCCAAGTATATAATGGCCTTTCTTTTTTCCCAGCCATAAACATATAATTTGCTAGGAATTTCACAAGAAACCCCATTTGTATTAATAATCATGTCATAAGTCCCTGTGCAACCCTTATGGCCCATGATTTTGCCTTACCAGACTGGAATTGTATACAAGGCTCCACCATAGACACCCTGTAATCTCTCTTACTAAAAAGGGGAAAAGAGAGCCAGACAGTTGTGGCACATACCTTGAATTCAGCACTTGGGAGGCAGAGGCAGGTGGATCTCTGAGTTCCAGGCCAGCCTGGGCTACAGAGAGAGTTCCAGGACAGCCAGGGCTACACAGAGAAACCCTGATCCAACAAAAAAGAAAGAAAGAAAGAAAGAAAGAAAGAAAGAAAGAAAGAGGGGGGAAATGTCAAGTGGGGGGGGATTCTTTAGAAACCAGTTAATCAACATCATCCCAAAACCTCCAAAATCCTATATACATGCTAAGATACTTAAGGATGACTTTCCTTTGAGAAGCCCTTACCCATTCTTTTGGATGTCTATAATTCTTTCCATGAGTACCTCTCTTTCTATGAACAACTCATTTAAATCTATATTAAAAAAATCTTTGTTAGCCGGATGTAGTGGCATATACGTTTAATACCAGCACTCTGGAGGCAGAGAGCAAGTGAATCTCTATGAGTTCAAGGCCAGCCTAGTCTACATAGTGAGTTACAGGCCAGCCAAGGCTACAAGTGAGACCCTGCCCCCCCCCCAAAAAAACAGATAAAAACCAAAACAACAACAAAGTATTTAATGAACTCTAACTCTTGCTTCATATTATCTTGTTCTGAAATTATTTTCCATGGTGAAATCAAGGATCCAGTTTCACCTGTGTGGAGGTCTCTGAAAGGGAAGTCTTTGGGCTGCTGAGGTAGGAGAATGGTCTGTGCCTTCTGCCTCCCCACCACTGACAAAAACAGCCCAAATGGCCATCAATTGGTGAGTGGGTGCATAAAATGTGATGATATCCATACAGCTGAATGATGGGTAGCCAAAAAAAAAAAAAGAAGTACCAATACATTTACAACACGTAATAAACTTTTAAAAAGTAGGTTAAATGAAAAACTCCAGTCAAAAAAAAAAAAATCACAGATTACAAACCTCGTGTTATTGTTTTTTTCCAGTGCTGCAGACTAAACACTGTGCCTCCCACATGACAGGCAAAGAATCTGCCACTAAAGCCACATTCCTATGCCAAGATGCTCTGTGGCTGTGATCTTGGCTGCATGACTCTATGAATCATACACTACTGTGTTGAGTACCAACTTTATCTTTTTTTTTTTTTTTTAAACCCTGGGGCTGAAGATGATTCAGTGGGTAAGAGCACTTGCTGCTCTTGCAGGTTTGGCTCCCAGCACTCACTTGTAAGCTCACAAATATGTGCAACTCTAGTTCCGGGTACTGACATGCTCTTTTGGTCTCTGAGAGCATCAGAGCACAAGGTGCATATACATACCGGCAGGCAAAACACTCCATAAAAATAAACAGAATTGAAAAAACAAAACAGGGGGAGGGGAACTGATATG